ATCTTGGCATTTAAGTTGTTTTCTTATTAGTAAATATGATCATAATTTATTTCTTAATATTTATTACAGGCCATACTACCAAAGTGCTACAGGTTAAACCAGTGGTCGGCAAACTCAATAGTCAAAAGAATAAATTAGCAGCAGCAGGACGGTTAAAAAATTTTGAGAGCCAGATTTTGTTTCAAGAACCTGTAAAAAAAACATGTTTTTCTGGGTCAAAACCGATTTTGTGGACGACTGGCCAAGCCGCCCTCCGGTCACTAAAGACCAGCATGCGGCTCTTGAGCTGCGATTTGTCGACCACTGGGCTATTATAACTATCAGTATCAGCATATGCCTTTCTTAAAAATATAATTGAAAATATAACTACATTTATTTATGATCAATGATAGTAAAAATAAAATATCTTATAACAATTATTTATTTTGTAAAAGATGAAATTATAATATTTTTTCTTCGTTTATTTTATAAATTATGTACGTACTATTTTTAGAAGCCTAATCGTTTTGAAGAGTGCTTATGACTCAACATAAACACAGGATTTATAAGACACCTATGAATGAGACACCAATAAAAAATGATTTTCAATGATGAGAATGCTCAATGATGAGTGACCACTTACACTTTTCATTTATTTATTAATCCAATTTAAAGTGATGGTGAGGCTATGGCCTAAAGATATAAACTAAAAAGCAAAAATGGAACTAGAATAATTTACAGGAAAAATGATTTTGAAAATAATCACTTTTATAAAGGTTGCGCTTTTGGCCCAAAACTTTAGGGAGGAGGGCTCTTGTTCGTACTTTTCCTTGGTTAAAAACTTTGTTGCCGGGCTTTCTCAGACTAAAGTTTCAGGTTTTGTTGTATTTGTATACTTCAGCAGTAGAAAATCTATACATTGTACGTTTTCTAGACATTTCGGCTTTTTTACATTATCCTATTTAATTTTTTATATTTTTTGTGGTCTCCTGTCGTGCGTTCGGTTGTCTATGGGTTCAGTTGTCAGTGTGGTCACTTGTCTGTGGGTTCACTTGTCCGTGGGTTCACTTGTCCGTGGGTTCACTTGTCATGGGTTCGGTTGTCTTGGGTTCAGTTGTCGTAGGTTCACCTGTCGTGCGTTCAGTTGTCCGGTCACCAAAAAAGGCCTCAGGATATGACAACCTCAATGGAACTCTGCACTGTTTAGCGTTGAGTAGTAAGCCATTGGGTCACTCCCAATACTTTATTAGCTTTAATTCTTCAGACTCCAAATTATATTTGTATGTCAAAAGACCAGTGGGTTTGGGAAAATTTAACCAATCAAACTTAGGATATTAATCACTTCTCTAATTAGGTGTTTTTATGGTGTGTAAATTAGGCTAATAAAATGAGACCTCCAGTCCACATACCTGTTGTTGCTGTTTTAATTATTTACCTAGCTTTTAACCTTACCATCATAATATGTTGTACAACTAAAAATTTTAAAGTAATTCTGAATTCTACTTTTATTACTCCACAGGTCTTATCATTGGGAGCAGAAGTTCTGCCTGAATACAAGCTCCAGTCTCAAAGGATCCACAAGTTCACCCTCCTCCACTACTCCCCATTTAAAGCAGTGTGGGACTGGATCATCCTCCTTCTCGTCATCTACACAGCGATCTTCACCCCGTACGCCGCAGCTTTTTTACTGAGTGAGGAGAAAAAGCAGAATGACCGGCCGGTCACCATACAGGAGAGATACTCTGAACCACTGACCATCATCGATCTTATTGTTGACATCATGTTTATCATTGACATTTTCATCAACTTCCGAACCACATATGTGAATAAAAATGATGAGGTGGTGAGCCACCCTGGAAAAATTGCTGTACATTATTTTAAAGGATGGTTTCTTATTGATGTTGTTGCTGCCATTCCATTTGATCTGTTGTTGTTTGGATCAGAGACAGACGAGGTAAGATTGAGAATTTGTAAAATTGATTTTTAGTTTTATATTATATGCGTTGAAATAGAAATAGAGAGTATGAAATAGAAGTAGAGAGCATGAAATAGAAATGGTCTAGTGCTTTTAAAATAATATGTAATGTGCCTGATCAACAGAAACTTTCCAAATATTATAGGAACTTGGCTTAGCTAAAGTGAAAATTTTTTGTTTTTTTTGTTTAAGTTTATCTGTTCACTCATAATATGGATAGATTTATCCATCATTTCCTCATTGTCAAGAGCCATGTCAAGCTTTTTTTTTCTCCATATAAGTTAATTCTTAACTCTCTTAATTAAGACTCTCATTTCCTCAAATAAGGATAAAAAGCAGGTATCAGTTTTCAATTTTAAAAAAATGACATAATAATGTTCTAAATATTACAATAAAAACAAACAAAATACAAAGACACATATGACATCAATATTGATTGATTGAGTGTATTTGATTTAAAAAGGGGTCAAATTCTACTTTTTCTAATATTCAAATTTTCTCTCTTCTTTGTTTCTTCAGACTACAACCCTTATTGGTCTACTAAAAACTGCCAGATTGCTACGTTTGGTCCGTGTTGCCAGAAAGCTGGACAGATACTCAGAATATGGAGCAGCAGTTCTTTTACTGCTCATGGCAACATTTGCACTCATAGCGCACTGGCTTGCTTGTATTTGGTATGCTATTGGCAACATGGAGAGGAATCTCAGCCTCAACAACAAGGATCAACCTCGATTTGGGTGGCTGGATGAGCTGGCCAAACAGACTCATCAGTATTACAATGAGACTAACATGGCCCTCGGTGGTCCCACCATCAAGTCCAAGTATGTGACTGCCTTATACTTCACCTTCTCCAGTTTGACCAGTGTGGGCTTTGGCAATATTTCTCCCAACACAAACTCAGAGAAGATATTCTCAATACTCATCATGCTTATAGGGTGTAAGTGAACAATTTTGCTCTTAATTATTTTTTTAAAATGTTTACTGGGCCTACCGGGTAGCTTTCATTTAAAATTCAGTGTAACATTTAGTGCATTTTAATTTTCTCTGAGTTCCTGAAATTAAAAAAAGAAATTTAGTTTGTTCTGATTTATTATCTGGCATTGTTTATTTATGAAAATCTAAATGTATAAACTTTCAATGCCAAAAATGATTGCTTCCATCCCTTTTGCATTGATATTATCTAATATCTAACTTACAGTGTGTGACTGAATCTAATTTGATTAAAATTGAATATTCTAAAAAAAAATTGTTTTAAATTGCTTGATTTAATTTTTCAATAATTAATTTTCAGCTCTTATGTATGCCAGTATCTTCGGTAATGTTTCCGCAATTATTCAGAGGTTGTACTCAGGAACTTCTCGCTATCACACCCAAATGTTGAGGATAAAAGAATTCATTAGATTCCATCAAATACCAAACCCACTGAGGCAGAGATTAGAGGAGTATTTTCAACATGCCTGGTCCTACACAAATGGAATAGATATGAACATGGTAACTTTTAAAGCACTTTTCATTTTTTCATGAGTTCTATTCAATAGCTATTTTGAAATAGATTTTTATCTTTTTTATGACAAAGATTTTGCTATTTAATAAATTTAGCTTGATATTTGAACTTTTCAAATTAAAGTTATGAATTTTTTCTATTTAAAAGAATTATTTAAAAATGTCATTATCATCTTTATAATAATAAGAACTCTGAATAAAGGATAACAAAGAAACATCATTTATTTAACTAGAAAGTAAAATACATTGCTTAATCTCACTAATTCTTGTTTAAAAGATACCAAAAACTCAGGACATTAAAAGCACTTAATCCAGTTGATCCTTTCTCATCTAGATATAATGTTCATCAGGTTATAGATCCACTTCAATCCATACAAACCACTTAAATAGTTAAATGAGATGCTTCAATTAGGCAACTATTGATTCATTTACTATAATTTAATAAAGAATTTTTTTTTTAATTTTCCAATGCGAAGCTTACATAGCAAAACATCAAAAATGCTTATTGAAGTCATACTGATACTACAATAATATTCATACTGTTGTTTTATAAATTTTTAAAATTATTCTTGCAATATCAAATTAATGTTTCCAAAGAAGAGAATTTTTTTTATTTTTTATTTAATGTTACAAATTTTAAGCTCCCCAAAAATGTGAGTTAACAGTTAATTTATGTGAATAAATTCATTAATGGTAAATCGTTCATAAAAGTCTTTGTACTTTAAGTAATCAGTTTTTCTTTCTATATTAGGTTTTGAAAAGTTTTCCTGAGTGTATTCAGGCTGATGTTTGTCTCCACTTGAACAGAAATTTGCTGCAGAATTGTCCAGCTTTCAAAAGTAAATAAATGTTAAACTCTATAATTCTTTTTAAAAAATTTATACAACAATTGCTGAAATACCTGGTTCACTGTAAATAATAATTAATTACATTAATTAGTAACTTCTTTGTGCATTTCTGCTTGCTATGAGCTAAATTTCTTTTCATTTTTATAGTTAATTATTTTTTTCATTTACTAGTCTTTTTTTTTTTTTTTTTTTTAAAAATTTTTTCAGTTAACACATTTTTTTTTTTTTTCTGTTGTAAACCAAATTTTCACAATCACCTAGTATCTTTTTCTTTTTTCTTTCATTAATTATTAAATTACATTAATTAGTAACTTCTTTGTGCATTTCTGCTTGCTATGAGCTAAATTTCTTTTCATTTTTATAGTTAATTATTTTTTTCATTTACTAGTCTTTTTTTTTTTTTTTTTTGAAAAATGTTTTCAGTTAACACATTTGTTGTTTTGTTCTGTTGTAAACCAAATTTTCACAATCACCTAGTATCTTCTTCATGTTTCTTTCATTAATTATTCATATATTTACAACATAGGCTATGCATAAAAAAAATATTTGTAAAAAGTTTAACCTAAAATATCCTGATTGTGTTAAGACACATATGATCCATGTGAGTTTGGTATTTAAAAATGTTATGTAATTGAATGCACCATGCAATTATTTTATTTTTTTTTGCATTTAGCCAGAATTATATATTTCTCTTAGGTGCTAGTCCGGGCTGCTTAAGAACTTTGTCAATGAAATTCAAAACTACACATGTGCCTCCTGGGGACACACTAGTACACAGAGGAGATATACTTTCAGCCTTATATTTTATTTCAAGGGGTTCTATTGAAATTCTTAAAGATGACATAGTTGTTGCTATATTGGGTAAATATTTTGTATAATTAATGCTGTTTTGTTTTAATTTAAAAAACATTATTTTTTGCATAAAGTCCTAAAATTTTGATTGATGTTTTGCAAGTAAAAATTATTTCAACTAAAATATCCCAACTCTCTAGAAAAAAAAAATAAGTAACGAGACTTTTGATTAATGTAAATACACATTTAATAATTTAAAAAAATCAGCTTTACCTTACCTGATTAATAATTTTGTACAGGCAAAGATGATGTTTTTGGAGAAAATATATGCAAACATGAGACAGTTGGAAAGTCCAGCTGTAATGTTAGAGCACTGACTTACTGTGACTTACATAAGATCCATCGCAATGATTTACTGGAGATTTTAGATATGTATCCTGAATTCGCTGAAGAATTCAAAAGAAATTTGGAAGTAACTTTTGATCTTAGAGATGTAAGTGGGTTTTTTTCTTAATATTCTAGTGTATTTGAATACGTAAATAAGTTTTGGTTCCTTGTTTTAAGTATATTTTAATGGTTCAGGCACAGGCTGATTGTGATAAGTTGCTTTCTGTGTATTGTGTATTTTTTTCAACCTGGTGGTCTGAATACAAAATAGATTTTAAAAAGAAAGAAAATTATTAATATGTTTGACCCATACTTAGTAAATAAATATTTTAATAAGCACAACACATTCTATCTCTCACTTAATTAATTGAAAATTAGGATACCTTAATTTTAAGGTTGCATTGTTTATTATTTAAAATTATATCTTTATAGATAGGCCCAGGAAATACAATGTGTGTCATTTAAAAAAAAAAGTAAGCTGTTTTCCTTAAAATACTTTGTACATTGAAAGTCAAATTACTTTTAACAATTATTGTATCTTTCTTAAGGTCAATTGCATGTTCCGGGTGCATGATGATGATTTAAGCTCAAGAAGGAATTCACGTTTCCGAAGATCACTCAAGTCTGCTCCTTATTTATCAACTTTTCACTCAGATTCTCAGGGTAAAAATATGTCCTATGTTTTATTCTTTGTTCTGTCTTATATCTAATAACAGATTATTTTCTACTATAGTTTGGTTTGTAGGCATGCATTTAAAAGGCTTTCACTCTCTTTTTTAAAAAAAAGAATAACAAAGTAGGTCTATAGATGAAAATCAGCAGCTATTGCTAGTAATATGATTGCATGATCAGAGAAATAAATACACATTTCATTATCTTTTTTATAAATTAATTTTCAAATTTAAAAATAATTTTTTTAAAATCTAAAAATAGTCTTGACTTTTGCTTAAAATTGTATTTTCTCTTAATTTCAAATTATTTTTTTATGCAAAAAAAATAAGCCATCCGTAAAATAGTTTTAAAACTATTAATTTATAAAATATTCTGGTAATAGCCAAGAAAAAAAATGTTAAAACCAAATTTAAAAAAAAAAATTATATTTTAAAATGAATGGATCATCTGAATATGTAGACTGTTTTGTGGTGTGGACTTGTCTCTCTTTCTTAAAAAGTAATGCAATCTCTACAAATTGCAAACAAGTTTGATTTTCTCCTGTTATAATGCTTTTTCTAACAATTGTAATTGCATGTTAATAATTAAGTTTAAAGAAAACATTAATCATTTGCAAATTGTCATGGACTTTCTTTGCTGAGAAAATATTAAATTTGCTGGCATGATAACATCAGCTTTTCCTATTAATTCCATAGAATTGCCAGAAGATATCCCTGTGATGTCAACAGCAGGTGAGAAATGCCCTCATTAACAAATTCATTGTCAAAATGCTTGTGTTTGCATTATAAATTTTGTTTAGTTATATTCTTTTTGAATGAATTCACCCATTGAATCTACAAACACTATACCATTAAAGATATAACCACTTTCTGTCTCATAAACCCAAAATTTAAATACCATAATATTGAATTTATTTGTTTGTTGCTAAACATATTTGTAATAGATGAATTATTATTAAGAGTTATTCTTAATCTTCCATTCTTTAAAAGAAATATAAACACTATATCAACTTGTGATGAAATCAAATAGCTTTGTTGGACAAATTTACATGCTTAATTTATGTTTTAACAACCCAAAAATATGGTACAAGGACTGCTTTTAATTTAAGTTACAGAAATATTTCAAATTATTAATCCCTTGAGAAATTATACCACTTTTAAAATTTGCTTTCAGTGTTAAGTGTGAGTCTGTTCCTCTTCCCCCTCCCCTCCCCCACCAAATTATTGTACATTTTATTATGTGATACCTGAGAGCTATTTTAGATGAATTTTATATCCTTTCATATGTTGTGTAACAAGAACCTTTTTCCTCTGCAGTAACATATGTTACAACTGAGGATGTTCCCCTAAACAGTCAGCATATTTGGGGTGAGCTTAACTGTATGTCTGTATAATGGACAACAGATTTATGCAAAAGTAGCAATTTTTGGGCCATTAAAATAATCATATTTTAACAAATAACTAGAATGCACACATTGTTTAATTGAGCCTTTTTATGATTAGCAATTAATTTAGGATTTATCTTTCAAAGGCAGCAAAGCCAAAATTTGCAGATATAATTCTTAAATTAAAGTTAAGAACTGCTGATACTCATTTATTAATTTGTAAAAAAATCAAGTGGGTAAACATTTTGCATGTGTGTCCACTTGATTTCACTCTAACGAATTTAAAGCCTTGGACATTTGTTAAAACTCATTGTTTTTGCAGCTTTATTATTTATGTACAGCCCTTTGAATACCCAACCTTTTTTCCTTTTCACATGATCAATAAAACAGCAAAGTGATCAGTAAATGTATACTTTAATTAATAAGTTAATTAAATTTTGGCCATTTAATCATTGACATTTTACATCTGATAGATTTTATATCAAAGGAAATATGACAATTTAACCTTTTAGTCTATAGGATATTATTTTATTACATTTCTTTTTATTAAACTTAAATGTATGTCAGATTTGTATAGAAATAAATAAATTGTACTGTTACCTATGCCAGACATTATCATTCAAGCAAAATATATTTTTCATTAAAATCTCCTCTAAAATATATGTTTCATTCGTAAATATTTTAAAAGTTTCAACATTAATACATGTCTCTTATCTTCATGTTCATTAATGCATGTCTCTTAACTTTATGTCTGTCTTGTTTAATTATTTCTATTGTTTTTGTATCTTTATGGTTATGAAATTTTCTACACAAATTTTTTGAGGTTTGTAACAAAAAAATTTCATGTCTTTTTTTATCTACCGGGTATTCATGAAATAATGTTTTTAAAAAATGGAATTTCTTTTAAGCTGTACAGAATGCTATCAGATGTGCTTTAAATTACAATTATTATTTTTCATGTAGGCCTAAGCAATAAAACCTAGAAGAAAAAAAAAACAATTTGACAGTAATAAAATACTTTGCATTATCAAAACAGAAGAGGCACAAAGTACAAATATTTTCCGGCCCTCACGATTGCACAAAAGAAGATCACATGAAGAGCCAGCTCATACTTCATTAGATTATCACAGTGATGATGATGTCAGAGAAAGTGGTGGAGGTATTCTAGAGTTTACTCCTGCCAAGGCAGGCCTTGATATGACACCAGCAAACTTTGACTTTGAAATTAAAGATGAGAAAAAACGAACAGCTACAGGTCTTTCAAGTTTGGCAGGTAAATACAGAATTTTTAGAAAGATTTGAATTTTTACATATATGTCATTTTTTTTTATATTGTGACCATAGGACAGGAATTTTGTAGGTCAAATTTACTTCTCCTTTCATGTTAATTTTGTTGATTGTTCAACAAATTTAAGAGGTACATTTTTTTAAAAACATATATATTGTACTTTTAGATGTTTCACTTAAGGTGTTATTTATCTTAAATGCTTACACATAAAAACTAAGGAATAAAAATTACATTCATCTTCCTGTAAAAACAATAACATTCATAAATCTTTTCAGCTGGAGCATTATCAAGTGTTTCCAATACGTTAATGAATGTTGTGTCTAATCGCTATGATGGGAGTAAACGTAATCAAGAACTTGCCCCATTACTGCAAGATCAGAATGCAAGCCCTGAGGCACATGTTAGTGACCTAATCATTTGTTATAATAATATGTACCCTATAACAAGAATATATTTTGAATAACAGCAGCAAAAATGTGCCATACATTTTACGTTTTCAAAAAAAAATATTTAATTATAAAAGCTTATCTTCTCTTATTTGTTTTTATATTATAGAATTGTAAAACCTCCCGTATTATTATTGTAGTGTGGAATAATTGGTCTCAGAGATTTTCTTGTTCAATCCCTAAGATCAAGGGAGCCTCAATGTCTTCAGTTCCAAAGTCCACATCAAGTATGACACTGCCAGTGTCCAGTGCTTCAAGCTACTCACAATATGATGAGCATGGTCAGATGGTAGTGATTATGCCCCCATTGCTCCAGGGGGAGATCAATAACGCATACCCTTCTTCCCCTCTTGAAGTTGAGAAAAGACTCAATGAACTATCAAAGTAAGTTGTGGGATAGTAAAATCAAATATAATCATGATAATCCATTTCAATTTAAAAACTTGATTTCCTTTTGTTTTAACTGTCAAAAATATAAATGTTTGTTCAATAGGCTGTAAATGTTCTGCATTGTGTCACCATATTGTTTCTACAGGCAACTTACCCGTTTGGAGCACAAAATGAGCTCAGATATTGCACTTATCCTCCATGTACTACAATCTCAGGGGCGAAGCCAGTTTACATCCCCTTCTACACCTCCCCCACCCCCACCAAGAATGGCAGAAACTGATACATTCCCGAGCCCACCAGGTGGAGAGTTTAACCTCTATGACTATCCTTCCCCACCCAACGCCTTTCCACCTCCACCTTTGTCAGAAGGGGTAAGCTTATAATTATAATATTTTAAGACTTCTGCTTATAATTGGCTATGATTTAAATCTTAATTCAAAATGCATTATATTAAAAATGAGCAGTACGGTAAGTTATATGTTCCCCACAAAAACATGAAAGAAATATTATTTCTTGTTGTTCAAATGGTGACAATTTAAATTTTGGCAAAAATTCCCACCGTTATTTGTTTTGTTTTTTTGTGTGGAAAATTTGAAAATGTAAAGGATATAATGAGTTAGTGATAAATATGTACACATATTTTCAAGGAAAAATCCTAAATTGTTTGTATTTTTATAATCAGACAATCTTGGCAGGAGCTACTGATGCTTCATGGTTGTCTCAACCTCATACCACTTCAGATGCTGTTCCTCCCACACAACTTTCCTCTTCCTCATCCAGCACTCCCTCGTGCCATGCATCGCAGTCACTAAGCCCTGATCCCCTTTCTCCCAGAAGTCATGCATTTAATCCACCACAGTCTAGCCAATCAAGAATCTCCACATCAACTTCCTCCACCGTGTCTTCTGCCAGTCAGCTTCTCACTGCTGAAAGCAGGCATGTCAAAGACAGTGCTGGTGAAAAAAACGCTCCGACTTCAACATTCAGCCAAGCAATGGTGCCTACATCTGCGGAGGAGGAGGAGCCTTTAACGGACAGCCCTTCATCATTACAAGAAAGCCAGCTTCCACTTGTGTACCAAGACCCTTACCAATTAACTGTTGTTGGATCAGGTTCAGGGGATGCATTAACATTAGAGCAGCGAAGACGATCAGGACCACCTGATGAGTCAGATAATTACAAAGATACCCTTGTGTGATGTTGGTGTTTTAAAGTTGGTTGGTCCTTGTGTGATAACATGTTTTAGAGTTGACTCCCCTTCCCCTCATCCTGGCACCTATCTGTTTTTAAACAGAAGCCTTTGATTTTTTACTGCGGTATTCAATGTGATCCAGTGCATATGTGCACTACAAGTGTGCAATAGTGATAAACATTATATGCTATTACTCTTATGGGCAAATATAAATTATAGGTATTGATTACTTATTACTTGGACAAAGCTATTTCAAAATACATTTAAAATGTAATTTAAATAAAGGATTATGTAGCTCAGCAACAATAAAATGCATCAAATGTTTGTAAGGATCATTCAATACCAAGCTATTTCAGAGTACTTTCAAATCATTTTACCAAAACAGAATTTTTTAAGTCCAAAGCAGATTTGTCCTGGTTTGATTTTTCTGGAGTAATATTTTTATAAATGAAACCCCAAACTCAAATTCTGAATTTTAAAATAAATAATATAACTATTTCCTTTTTCTAATATTATAATGTTGATTATAGACTATCTTTTCTTAAAATGAGTAATAAGATGGCTGTGTATTTCTTGAAACATTTTCCTCCCCAATAATTGGAACACATGAAATAAATTGTTTATAAGGGTTACTTCAAATAGCTTGTTAAATTCCATATTAAACTTTTTTTAATGAAACATTCTTACATATTTTTAGTGTAAAAAATCAATAGCAGGCTGTTAATATAAAAAATTATAAAAATATTCATAGGAGCCAAAATGATCAATGCATTGATCATGTGCCCTCAAAATGTAGAAGATATAGAAGACGAAGATAAAAAACATCTGTAAAAAAAGCCACTTTGCAATTGTTGAAGGGTTTTTAATATTTGTTGATCCCTTTTCATGTAAGAGTATAGAGTTCATAATTCTTTACTGTACAAGCATAATTTATTGTAGAGAAGTGGAACTAATAGTTGCTGGCAACAAACAAAATAATAATAAACATAATAAAGAGAGATGAACTTAAATTACATGAAGAAAAAAAATATACAGTGCAAAAAGTTAAAAACAAAAAAATGTAATGTGAAACTTTTTTTGATAAGAAAATTTATATAACAGCCCTACTAGTAACATGGACCTCTGAACAGATTCAAGTCCCTTAATAATTATCATATGCTCAAGAAAACAGAACTGAAAGTGAAGATATTTTTCTCATAATGTGGAATAATTGTTACAACTTCATGTCATCAGCATTTTAGGGCTGTGCAGCAGGCCAAAACTATATATTTTTGAAGTCATGGTTGACATTCATATGAAAAACATATGTGAAATTTAAGGATTATCTATTTATTCCACTACTTACATATTTAAAAAAATGCAATGAACAGTAATTTTTATTAAAGAGATTTTGTTCTTCCAACATGAATTACAGAGATGATAGCATGCCACTTACAAGAACCCAAAGAATATTTTTTTACAAAACATTATTTGACTATTCAAATTTCAAGTCATATTTGATTTTTAATAAAGAGATTATGACTGTTTACCAAGCTTAATTAAATTTAAAGAAAATTCTGGCCTATATCCAACCATTGATTGTTTAATTTGTGCGAGTGTCTTTTTTATTGCTGTTGCTAAATTTTATTTATGTAATGACATTTCTTAGCTGACATTTTAGATATATAAATTTGTGTTTGTATATTAATTGTATTGGCAACCATAATGCAATAACATTTGGAATGCATAAAATAAATTGGTTGATGTTAAATGATACTATGTGAAAGGTAACACATTGATCCAGTACAGATTACTTAATAGTAACAACAAAAACCAAAATTTAGTAATGAATGACATGTGATACTCAATTTCAAACAAATGTAAGTTGTAATTATTGCTATATAAAATGGTAGAAAACAATTTGCCATCTACAAAACTGTTTTTTTTAAAAATATATTTTAGATTGCCATTTCACCACCTATAGCAAAAATGTCATTGTCATATTGCCATGGTCAAATACTGAGTATTTCTGTCCAAAATACCTAACTACCCAGTGTGCCTGTAATTAATAGGATCATATCTAATTATCAGTATGGAACAGATTTTTTTTTACCTGTTTGAATGCTGAATTTTTTTTCTCCTAAATTTATCTTTAAGAAACATGGATAATTATAAATAAACTCTCCACACATAGATATCAAAAGAGTAACATTATAATGAATATAGCTTGTCTTATTTGTTGGGGATTCAGATGAGATTTTAAGACTTAACTTGTCAAGATGTAACGTAATCTGCATCTGTTTAGTTTTTAAACATCCTTATTTATTATAAGATTGACTGCACTTATTTATCCTATTGATTTACAGTGAGTACTTTCTTGTCAAAATAATAAGAAAACACATACAGCTTTACTCAAAGGAGGCAATATTTATTGTTTTTAAATTATGATTATGAGGATGAGTTACATAGAAATGTGGTGAGTGAAGACAATCATGTGATGTAGTCAGGGGGCAGCTATGTTAGTGTAAATGTGAATTAGGAAGTTTTGATACAAGAATACTTCTCTTTATCTATAAAATAATGTTTAAATCTACTGACAGTTGAGAAACAGATCTGTTGATGTTAAAATCATTTTAAATGTAACCACAAATTTGCAAAAAAATACAACATTAAAATAAAGAATCTACTTCTCTCCATGCTCATTTTGCTGAAATTATAAAAATTTTTAGATGAGATACATAATTATATTTCAAAAATAAAATACAGTTTTCCTATCAATATGTAATGTAATTCAATCCTTAAATACAGATGCTCCCCACCTTAAAAAAAAAGTTACGTTCGGAATGATTTTCATACCATGAATTTGTAAAATATTATTAGGTTCGATGTTGACTTTTCATATCTCCTAACCATGTTCGTGAGATAAAAGCTATAAATAACATAAAACAAACAATAAAAAAATAATAAAACAATAAATAATACATTTTAAATACAGCACATTATAAATAGAAAATTAAAAATAGATAAAGAGTTACTATGGAGGTACATACCTTGGATTGTTGTCTTTGAGGCATGTGTGGATGGGTGAAGAGGAGGTAGTTAGTAAGAGTTGCCGGGGTATTCCCACTGTTTACAATTCTCAATTTTTTGCAAATTGTGGGGCTCATTTGTGGTATTGCACTACACATCATGTAGACTCTTTCACTATGTTCCATTTGTTTATTTTATTTTCAACTCCAAACAAATTTCACTCTGAGGACAGGTTTGTTCATATTGGCAAAAGTTCAAAATTGAAAGTTCATAAGTTGGGGAGCATCTGTAATAGAAGAATCTCCTGTTAAAAAAAATTAACTTGCAGTAAATGTCTCAACATTTGAATGCTATTATTACTAATTTTATAAATGGATTGGACTTATGAATGCTTCCAGGGATTTATGAATGTTTGCTTGATGTTTTACTGGCATATAACAACATTGTTCATTATACCATTCATATACAGAAAAATGCATTAGTAATATCTGTGCAATTCTGCATTTAATATTTATATATTACTGTCGTAAGTTTTGACTGTAAGTAAAACCACACAGATTTCTTACTCAGATTGTGTCAACATACCAATCTAACTTGTGATACATCTTCAATTTTAAGAAATTGTAAGTCATAATTTTTATACAATCATGTCAAAGACAAATTAATTTGTCAATGACAAATTACTTTGTCAATGACAAATTACTTTGTCAATGACAAATTTTAAGTTTTCTAAATAGGTTGTTCAATATCATTTCAATTTTTAAATCACATCAATTTTTTTTTGTAGTTTTTTTTATCATAAAAACATCAAAATATTTGATTTTGGAGGGATGAAACCATATTTTTAAAAACATATGAAATTAAATTACTTTAAAATATATTCAGCCTGTATTTTATGTTTACAATTTTTAATTTAACTATAATTAACTTATGTGTTTGCTAGTCAATGTCACTAATGCAGATTAATGGCTCTAAAGTATAGAGAAGACTTTATATCTGCTTAAATGTAAGGAACTGGCAAATTAATACTTTTGAATTATTCCATTACAAACAGATAAGCAGGGATAAGAGCATTTTCATTTCACGGATAAATCATTAGAAAATTTCAACTGCCTTCAAACGTCTTAAAAATGATTTTTTGTTCTTTAAATGCAAAGAAAATTGTTACAAATAACTATTGTGAGGTCTGCATATTGTTTAAAGTAGACATTTTTTGAAAAAAAAATATCTATAGCACATAATAATATATTAACACATAATAATATATTAACAAGGTAAATGTTGAAGTTATGATTCAGGTTTTTTTTTTTAATGTCATCTTGACATTTTCAGTGTTGATTCAATCTACAATTGTTCAAATGTGACATTTTCTTGTGTTCAGTGTTGATTCAATCTACAAATGTTCATATTTGACATTTTCTTGTGAGCAGAGCTGTTGTGATGTAGAAGTAGTTGACAACCTGGAAATCCTCAAAACACCATTTAATTAGGAGCCTCATTAATGATTTTTTTTTCTACTAGTTTTTGGTCAGAAAAGTACCTCAGAACAGCAAAATTTGTTGGTAAGAAAATTTAGAATGACTGTGTGTATTCTTCAGAGAAATAAAATTGAACTTTTGATTTCTACTAAAATGCTGTTTTTGCAAAATGTTAAGCTTAATTTGACAATTGTATTATATGCATCTTACATGCTGAAAGAAATGAGAAAGTCAAACTTCGTCTTTCAACTTGAACTATTGAAAGGAATTAAATATTTCAAAAATTACTACCGAGGAGATAAATGCAAACAATGTGACTTTTTTTCTATCCTTGTTTTTCACTATTGAAGGCTAGTTAATATCACAATATATTTCCCTAAAAACAATGCTTATGCTGTTTAAAGAATGAATTTTGCATCAAATGTACCAAACCATCTTTCATAAAACATTCCTTTGGTGGAGGGAGGGAATTTTTCGTGAAAGTGTTGATTTGTAAAGTTCAAAATTTATTTCTAATATGCACAGCAAAACAGAAAGGTGTAGTTATACAATTAAGGGACCATGATGAAAGCAAAGAGAGTTCAGCCTTTTTGTTGTTTCTTTTTTTTTTCTTCACTGGTTCTCTGCAATATAAATGCCTCAGCTATTATCTCCGTTTGTTAGATGTAATTAGTTATCTAGATGCCACAGCTTTAAGAATGTGCCAGCAGAGACAATCTATTTAAAATTAATGTATGCACTACTTCTAAAGAGCATGTTTTGGAAAGGGTAACATAATTATTCAATTTCTTTTTTTTTTATTTACATATTTGTTTTTGTAAATTCACTTTTCATGTTTCTATATACCATGTGTGGTCTATTGATCTTTGTCATTTCTATTTAGAGCTTCCTATGCAATTTTAGATCTAAAGCAATTCATACCAATTGTTAGTTTGTAAATAAGAGTTATCTTTCATTCTTTTTTTATTTATTTGTTTCTTTAAGTTCTTCTTTTCACACTGTATGTTAACTTCTGAATAAATAATAATGCTTAAAACTGTTGATGAGCAGTAGCTCCATCAGAAATGAAGATAAAATTATTGTCAAAATTGTTTATATGAAAAAGAAATAAAATCTGTTTCCTTAAGACATTCTTTTCTTTAATAATTTTTTTTTAAAAAGTGGTTGCAAGTTTCATAAATCAATAGTTTCTAACAACTTTAGTTTCCGTCAGGACTAAGAGTCTGCCAATTCTGATCCAAATGTTTTTTTAAAAAACAACTCAAACTCATGTATTTTACATCATGCATGTATTTTGTATTGCAGAATAAACATAAAATTAATGAAAGGCATCATGAAATCTATTTTCCAGAGATACAGGCATAGGATTCAGTCTCTAATTAGACATAAATTCACTGCTTTAGATGTAACTTCGACACTATGATTGAGACATTCAAGTGGACAAAAGATTAACTAATACACTGGTAGTACCATTGATATAAACTATTATTTATAACATTATCAGTTAGTTACCAAAAGGAGACATCAAAACTTCACTTTAAACTCCAGCTCATTAACTTTTCCCAGCTTTGTTTTTAAGAACTAGCTCATCTATTTGAAGAAAAATATATTTTCTGCCCCATCATATGCACCTCTTTGAAGATTGCCACACCACCAGACTTTAATTTAGAAAAGGCTCTTAAATATAAGTCTGAGGCTGGGTGGGCAATGAAAAGAGGCAATAATTTGCAATTACAAACAAAAAAATACCTCAGTTTGCATCAGATGGCAAAACAAGAATTTATACTTTTTGAAAAAAAAAATGGACACATAAAATAATAGTATAATTAAGCAAATTCACTCAAAACAGATCAAAGCAAGAAATATAATTACAAAAGGAATAGTTTCAAGATAAACAATAAAACAAAAATTGGAAGAGGCCTTAGTATGAATGTTAAAAACAGGATTTTTTTTAAATTCACAAATTCTTAAGTTTATTTACGTTACAAGCAGTATTATGATATTATTTCATATTAAATTAGCAGTGTAACACATAAAATACTTTTTAAAAATAATAACAATTAAGAGCTTTTTAGTGATGACCACTCTGTTGGAGCTTCTTAGATAAGTACCCGTAAAAATAGAGTGTTCATTATATACGGATATTTACACATTCCATCAATGGAATGATACCCTAATAAATTGTGCAGTTTATCCATCAGCATTGGTAAGGACATATGATTTGAATTATAATGCAACATCAACAATCAGGAGAATAACTGACATCTTAAATATATTATGATCATATACAACTTTTTTTGAACAGCATCTCATCTTCACCAACTGTACCAAGCGGTCACATCAGAACATTTTTAAGAGTATTTTCAAAAAGCAAACTCACACAAAAGCAACCAAAAAAAAAATGAATCTCATGGTAAATAAAATATTTTGAAGAGGTTCGTTCATAAGTTAAAATTGATAGTGATCATAGGTTTATTCACTGTCACTGCCAGATTCACTGAGGGCCAAGTCATCATCTAAGACATCAAATTTCATATTACTGGAAGGGTGATGAGAATCTGTTATGAAAATTTGAAAGAAAAGACATTTTTAACAGCCGAAAATTCATCCTAAAAAAAAATTATGTGAAGTTTTTTAAAATTAAAATTCAAATACACCCAATAAATGCTCCTTAAAATATACTGTGTCTCAGGGGACAAATGTTTATCTTAAAATATCTTACTTGTATGGTGATTAGATGGCTTGACCACAGCTTCTACATCTTCATCTGAGCTGTCAGTTATTTCCCCAACTAATGCAATATCATCTGTTCCTAAGAAGGTAAAATCAAGATTTTTAGTTCATGAAGCAAATTTTGTTTACAAAATTAAATAGATATTCAGATCTATTTCAGTAATACTAATGTGAATAATTTCTTAAGTTTACCATACCTTTGGATGCTTCACTGTGTATAGGTGTAATTGAATAGTTATCCCCTTTGGGAGAAGAAGAAGATGCAATAATCTGTTTCTTGTCAACAGGAGTTACTCTCCCAGTAATATGTTGCATAGCTTTACTGCTACCATCCAATCTGAAATGATTATTTTACTATATTTTATCATTTTATCAACTATAGTTAACATAATTGATTTATTACAACATGTGAGTTAAGTCATAAATATAGCTTTAGACTTCCATTTTTATTTTCAGGGTTGTGAAGTCAAGAGTTTCACTACTCATTTTATTGTAAATTAAATAACAACAGAAGCATAAGGAAACCTTTTTTTTCAAATGTAAAACCAGGACATTAAAATTTTTACATTGAAAAAAAAAACATGACCCTGAAAGTATTTGGCGCCACAGGTGTCCGAAAATAAACAGTTATTTGTGACTACACTGAGAGCACTTCTGTCAGTGTGGCTAACTCAACATTTAAGATGCGCTTTTGTCTTTTGCCACCATGGGTGTCCCAAAATAAACAATTATTTGTGATTACATGGACTGCGCTTCTGTCAGTGAGCTGTCCTTTTGAAAAAAATATTTTTGTGACGCCAATTTGGCTTAATTGTATTTCTTTTAGTTGTGTAATTTAGTTATGCCTAGCATTGGATATCAGATATATACTCGATCTTTTGATAAATCAAAAATCATTTTTTTTTTAAAGTGTAGTCTTAAACTGTACTGTTTCGGATCACACAAAACCAGGACATAGGTTCAAAAACCATTCCTGTCCTTGTAAAATAAGTGGGAAAGGTCATAATGTAAATTAGATAGGGCATTGAAGTAGAGCCACCATACTTTCAGGATATCAGATCAAACATATAAGTGAATCTTGGCCAAATGGCATTTTAACAGCCTTCCCACTAATTGCAAATTCCTTAATAACAACAAAAAATATGGATCGTATACTTAATTTCAAGGTACAAGTTTAATTAAATAGTTAAGAATTTCTTAGCCAGAGAGTTTGATAGTCATTAAAATACAGTTTGCTTACCTGGTTTTCTTAACAGTTATTTTGCTAGTTAACTGTTCAAGAGTGAATGTCCCAGTATTGTGATCAATTATAAGGACACATTCTTTCATCACAGGCTGCTTATTTCCTTTGAATACAGTGTGGCTTATACCAGATCCCTAAAATCAAAATTATTAGAAAATAATAGAATTCATATTGTGTAGATGTATCATTATTTCGTCATTAAAAGTGCATCAATAAAAACAAAAGCACAGCTCTCCCAACTAAGGAATATATTATTATTATTATTATTACAGTGATCTGATATAGCGCAATACCCCAGCCTAGGGCTGGGCTCACAGCACTGCACATAAAAATATTAGCAAACATAATCATGACATTAAAAAATTACACACATTTATTTAATTAAAAAACAGCTGTATAATTTAAAGAGATGTGTCTTGAGTGTCGTTTTGAAGGCCTGAATGGTCAGTATATTTCGGATGTGTAGAGTAAGAGAATTCCATTGTTTGGGGGCACAGAAAGAGAAAGATCGTTCACCGTATATTTTAGTGCATGTCTTGGGAAAAGAAAGAATACATGTGTCTGCAAAGGAGCGAAGCTTTCGAAGGGGTGAATAGACAAAAAGAAGTTTGATTAGATAGGAAGGGCAGGAATCCGAGAAAAATTTGTGGCTGAGAACAGAGTTTGTAGCAATTTCAATATGTGCTAGTAAAGGGAGCCAATGAAGTGAGTGGAGTAGTGGAGTGATGTTTTTTTTCCTTTAGCTTAGCAGCCGAGTTTTGAACCTTTTGTAGTTTTTCTATGAAATGTTTTGGTGAACCTGACAGAAGAAAAAGTTGAAATAGTCAAGATGAGAGAGAACAAGAGCACAGACTAGGGTTTTGTTGCGCTAAGTGTGAGGTAGTGGAGGATGGAGCTGATCTGACGGATAGCGGTGTATGAGAATGATAAATGTGAGAGATATGATCACATTGGCACAAGGTGGGTAGTAAAAAATGTTGGACAGACTTAGTGGCCTGTTTTATATTATCATAACATTACAGGGAATATTTAAATTACATGTTCTTGGCAGTTCTTCATTAATTTAAAAACAATGAAGGAAAGAAAAAAAAGACTGGCTATTAATGGAGCTCAGATTTTAAAAAAGTAGTTCCAATAAGTTATGTTAGAAATGAAAATTCCTTACCTCCACATGAGGAACAGTAACTGTCACCTGATTCCCTTTACCAACCTCAACACATGCCTCCTTGTTGGTGTCGACTGAAGCAGGCTTAAAGTCATCTAAATGTAGATTTTTAAAGATATTTCAATAGACCTATATTTTATCCCAAGTACACTTCGTACAATATATACTACTCTATTACATTACAAAAATTGCAATAGCCATTGTTAGAAAGCTTTAATAAAGTATAAGAAACAGATATAGTGGGGGCTACATAATAAGACTTAAATCACATTTGCATATGACTATTACTACTACTTATCCTCTAGTACACTCCATTTTTAAACTTCATATAAAACAAATCTTTTGTTATTTATTTTCCTCATCAATTAGCAAATAAGTCCAATGGCGTACTAAGTAGGATTAGCATTTTTGACATAATGATCATCTTAAATCTTAATTTTAGAGTAATTAAAACTAATTAACTAGCCTCTTATTTAAAAATCAAATAAAACAACTCTAAAATTTAAAATACTCTTGATATTGTGTCAGCAGAATGTTTCTTAAATATTCCTTGTTTTGAGGCTGGTACTTAATTTACGCCCTGGTTTAACCTAATTAATACTAAGTCTTAAACTTAAAAACTATATAATTTAGTAACTATACTATATATTATATATAGTATTATTTACTATAACATGCCATATATTATAGGCGGTGTCTACATGTCCGTCGACTGGAAAAATGGTGCGGGAGATATTCTGCCAGCAGGCATGTCACATGACTGCCGGACGAATAGATTGTGTTATTATTCTGGCAGACATGTCATGTGACAAGAGGTTGCTGGCAAAATTTAAAAAAAAAAAAAAAAAGTCTCGTTATCTTGGTTTAAATATCTTAAAAAGGTCAACCTAATAGCCTAACAGCAGGCATGTCCAATGAATGGCGGACGAATAGATTGTGTTATTATTCTGGCAGACATGTCATTTGACAAGAGGTTGCTGGAAAAATTTAAAAAAAAAAAAAAAAAGTCTCGTTATCTTGGTTTAAATATCTTAAAAAGGTCAACCTAATAGCCTAAATTTAAAATATGAACCAAAGAAAATAAGATCAATACTTGCCAGTTGAATGTCAATAGATCTATCCAAATAGTGTCAAAAAAGTTTTATTTTAGGCTATTAATATTGCGTGAGAAGTAGGCTTCCCCAACAGTACAGCACTCAACATTGGCCTATATTAAGATATAGGGTCTATTTCTATTTGTGAACTTTGGACATCCCCGCCTTAATTATTTATCACCCTCACAATCATTTTTGTCCTTTCTCTCTTGCTTTCAGTATTTCTTCCTTCTAGTATGCATTGCGCCATTGCTCCCCCCCCCCCCACTTACTTATTTCTTGAAATAAAGTGTATACTCGTTGCCCCCCTCGCCTCCCATGCATCTCCGACGCCAGTTTAAGATAGATCATTAGTGGTCAAGTGACTAGACTGACAAACAGTCAAACAGATATCATGCCCAACTTTGATACGGCAGTCGTGTGACCTGGTCGCCGGATGAATATCTCGAGAATTATTCATCCGGTCGCCGGACCTGTAGACACTTCATATATTATATGGCATATAGTATAGTATAGTCACATTCTTCATACAGTCATGCTGAGTATACAGTATAATTTTAATTTATAGTATAATAGAAATAGAAGCCTATACTATTAAGTTGCCTAGTTGTCTGTCCAAGTCCAATGGATGTGTGTAGAAGAGCAAGATTATTAATCTAGGTAGCTACATTATAACAATAACATGCTCTACTCTATATTTAGCCTAGTTACTAGTTACAGTAAAAAATGTACACTTACTTGACATCTTAAAAGTTATTTTACTGTACTCTGCACTTAATTTTATTTTTTGTATCACCCATATTATTTTTTATATAACTTTCAATAAATGAAAATGAGCACCTAATTATTATTTAAAACAATTATAACTTTTAATAGTAAAACGAAGGGTAAAACGATACTATCTGTTGCACAAGTTAATTTATTATGATTGTCCTAGCCTTAACCCAAAGTAATATTTATTTGTAACTTAAGTACTTAAACTTTACTTACATCGTATGGTATGAAATCCTACTTTCGAGTGAGTATCGAAGCTGTTTCCCAATTTTAATTCATGAATATCATTGTCAACTGGCAAAGACATCACTATGCGACAATAATACAAAATTAAATATACCTTATATCAGAAAAAAATCTAAATTTAAAACAATAATAACATGTATTATTTGTTCAACGCGTTTTCGTTAAAGGCCCATATTGTTATCTCCGACAGCTGGTACGATGGCCAAAAAATACATATCAGAACATTAACACACTGTAAGTAGCTCTTCGGTGTAAAGAGTTTAGAAAGATCAAAGTATCAGTTGAATTTTGGCCAAGCTGCCAGTGAAAGTGTATCAAAATTATTTATATATAATATATTTGAATTTGATGTACCAGTAGTTGAAATTCCCTTACATACACGTACAAAATATAAATCCAAACACAATAAAAAAATAGAAAATAGACATTAATAAACAAATTTTTATTGGAAATTTTTCCAAAATTAATAAGAAACCATGTTAAAAGATCGTTAGAATAATAATCACACCCCATGATTATGATTATGAGCACGGGCGCTTTGAATTTGATTTGGGGAAGTGGGGCTGGTTAAAATTATAACCTAATAAAAAGACTTTATCATTGCCATTTCAATAACATGTTAGTATTAGGCTTATTTAATAGATTAATTATTTGATGTAACCTAAATGATTATACATTTTATTTAAAATAAAAGTTTTAATTAATTTAAATTAGGAATAAATAATGTATGTAGGTTATGTATTTTAATGAGATACTTAATATAAATTCCTTTGACAAATGCTATATCAAGATCAGCCCATAAAGCTGAGATGACTATGTTCACCCGATTCACCTCTCTACTAAAAAAGCGTTTGCATAAATAATAATTTTCTACAATCTATTCAGCCTAATACCTGGCACACATTGTCAAAGCTTAGGTCAAAGTTCAAACAACAAAGTAATAACAATTTTATTATTTTTGTTTGTTTGGATTTTAATTTTATAATTTAGTAAGACAGTTAAGTTCTTTTTAATGAAGTTGACGTTCAATCGATACAGTAATAACCGCAATTCATGTTCAATGTTATTAAACAGTAACTATTTAAAATTCACGTTTTATCATTTATCATACAAATCAATTTAATGTTTAATTTTTTTTAAAAATAGTTTAGTGAGTATAGTCATAGTCCCCGGTATGTATTACTATCATATAATAAAATAATATATATAAAAGTGAATGTTTGTGGCGGGCGGGCGGTGTTTGTTCCACAAAGGCTTTTACATGGACTACCCTATACTATACTCTGCCTATACTATTACCAGAGGCGTAGCGAGGGGGGACAGATGTCCCCGGGCGCCAGCTAGTTAGGGGCGCCAATATGTGCTTTGATATTATTTTATTGTTAAAAATAAGGGGTTTGAGAGTTGATAAAAAGAAAAAGGGGCGCTTTAAAATGGATCTTGGCCGCGAATCTTGTCTCCGGGCGCCAAACACCCTCGCTACGCCTCTGACTATTACCATTGCTCTATCTATAATATAATATATAATTATAATTATAATATAATTACCCAACGGTGATGCACCATCGTCTCACGAGACGGAAGGATGCCGATTATAATATAATTATAATTGATTGGATATTTATATAGCGCTGGTATCCATGCTACTTTAGCATGCTCACTGCGCTCTGGTTTTCTTAAATCTATTTAAACAAAAAAGTTTTTAAATTAAATGTTTCTTACTTAAACTTAAATTATTTTTTATCATTTTCAATTCCCCTCAAAGATTGGGGCAAACTGTTGCATAATTTTGGCACTTTCGCTTCAAAAGAGCGCAGTCCGTAAGACATTTTTCTGTACTGTTTTCATCCACACTGGGAATTTTCAGTAAGGACTATGTTGAATACCGCAGGTTCTTTAAGGATACATGTTTATAAATCAGTTCTTTAAGATATTCTGGTGCAGAGCCTTCTATGCAGCTGTACACCAGGGACAGAATTTTGTAGTTGATGCGCTCACTCACAGGAACCTAATGGAGATCTCGTAGAACTGTTTTGATGTGGTCAGATTTCTTTATCCTCGATACAATGCGTGCTGCAGTATTTTGTACCTTCTGGAGTCTCTGAATTTGGTTCTGAGGTAAACCCTACAAACAACTGTTACAGTAATCTAATCTTGACTGGATTAGAGTTACTGCTACAGCATTGGCTGTTCTCTTATTATGATAATCTAGCAGTGAATTATTGTTGCTACTTCATAAATATGTGTTTTCAGCTAAAGTGAAGAGATAGCACCCTGACGTCATTTGCGTATTTTGTCCCTGGTTCCGATAGGGTCAAAACCATAGTTAGCGATAAGTTTAGGGTTTAGGTTAGGCTTAGGGATAGATTTAGGGTTCAGGTTAGGTTTAGGGACAAATTTAAGACATAAGTTCGTGGGTCACAGCAACCAAGATGGCAGCCGTGGTAAAAAAAAATGCGGTGCTATCTCTTCACATTTACCATGTTTTCCTATGGCTATGGTCTTAGGCAGGCGACCTCTGTGTAAGTGTAAGGGGCCAAAGGGGTGGCGACCCACAGGTTGAGAACCACTGCTCTATATTATTATATATAGTCTATATAATATATATTATATAATGAAATATTAATAATATACCAGCCGCAATTGATAACAGTAACACTACAGTACAGGGACTGTCGCGTAGCACTGTTCAGCCACTCTAGTCCTAGCAATGATTCATCTAGTTTGTGGTGCTTGAGTTTCTTCACTTCACCCGATTCCTTTTCGTAAATTGTGTAAATTGTAAAGTTAATGATAATGTTTGTATTCTGTACTAACATACACATTCTGGTTAAATCTTGATCTTACACTCTTATACTACTTATTCATATTCTTAAACCAGTATTACTAGTACATTGGCAATCAATTCCATATGTTGGGCTGTGCCATATAACATCGTTTTCTGGTAAATGACTCTCCCGCCACCCTGTACGGTATTGAGCCAAAGGTTGCAGTATATGGTAGCTATGGTCCTTGTGTTAAAGTGTCAATAATTTTAAGGAGGGATATCTGCATACCTTATGCTCAATTAAAAATGAATGATCTATTTTTTATATAAGTCTAAATGTAAGGCTGTTCAAATCAATGATCATTGGTATTCTTTCGCTCAAGGCTTCCCCCACCCCCTTCCCCCTTTCACCCTCACCCTGCTCCCCTCAATCTCCAGAGACGGGATTTGAACTAAACACGCAAAACTCGAACCCTGTTGATGACCAAACCAGAACCCTATGGACCATGGACAACCAAATCCAAATTACAGTTATGCTGCTCCCATGCTTCTACTTTGATGCCACTCTCTTCTATCAGCTGGTACATAATTTCTATTAACGGTACCTAGTAAATTAGATGGGTCAGTGACTATAATGAATACATTCCTTTAAACATGGTACCATCCCATCAACCTCCCTTTTTAATATTGCCGGAGCTTGGAGCGGAACTGACAAAAATGTGTGCTTGCTCCTAAACCCTGAATCAAATGAATGGGTTACAGGTGACAACATTTAGATAATGCAAGATGTGTGTGGATGGTGAGGGGGCAGTTTACCTCATATAATTATAATAATTCTACAAGATAAACAAAAAACATTTGACTTGCCCCAGTAGAACGAAAGTGAGGAAAGATATGATAGAAAAATTAAACTGCATTTGTTATTTTACAGCAGGTGTGTGGGGACTTATTATTATTTATAAGCCTATCTTGGATCCATCAAGATAAACTGTTTTTGCTCAGAGGGCAGCATAGAATTTCTTTGGTTTTTTTGTTGTTTTTTTTTGAGTTTCTTCTTCTTCTATATCTTAAGGGCCCACGATCAATTTATTGATCATTTTGGCTCCTATGCATGTAGATGGGATTTGCAATGTTTCTGTTACTGGTGTTGAGGAGGAAATCATGCACTAAGGGTTTGAAGGCTTGAGGCAATAGACACAAATGTGTCTAGTGTTGTCGCCTCAACTGTTCCTTTTGAAAGTTTTATATAAGGTGGGCTTCAAAATGTCATTTTGAGTTCAATTTGAAAATAAGCAGGGGATAATTGTTTTAGATTGCTATGATTATAGTATTATTATAACAGGTGGAAAATTGCTTGCTCTATGAATATTAATTTCAAAGGCTTTTACAAATGTTTTCATAATTTTTTTCATTTTGCAAAAATATTCCAATTTGCCTGAAGATCTTGCACTTGCAGTAACTTTAAATGTTTAATCAGGCCTCATCTGGTCCACTGGCGTTTGGGGTGCCCACCCCTGTTTTACAGTGTGACTTAACTTAATTGTAAAAAACCTAAACTGGTTTAAAAACAAAACTGGTTTGCCAAAAAAAAATGGTATTACATTTTTTACATCTCTAGTTATTACAGAACTGAATCGAACCCAAACTTAAATTGTTACCCAACTGAACCTAAACTTAAGCTGTTACGGAAAACAGAATTCCAACTTAAGCTGTTACGGAAAACAGAATTCCAACTTAAGCTGTTACCAAACCAGAACTAAAGCTGTTACTGAACCAAACCAAACATGAACTTATGTTGCTAATAAACCGATCCTGAACTTCTAAAGAGCTGTTTGAGTTTGATTCCCATCTGTACCTAAGGCCTATGGGCCTATGAAATATAGTGCCATAACCTACACTAGTTTAAAAAGGGTGGACTACTATCAGGTTGAAATATAGAAATTATAATAGAGGTAGGGGAGAACCTGAAAAAAAAGAAGAAACAAAACAACTAATATGTCTGCAATAAACCTTTATGAGCAAACAAACCCATACAAATAGACTAGAGGATGAAAAATTAATACCCGGTAGGTGAAAAAAATGATACCTATACTATTTGGCAAGTAAGTGTATAGTAAGTAGGCTGTCATACAAACTAAGTAGTTACTTAGTAGGCTAGTACAAGGCCTGTAGTATTGTAATATAAAAATATTTTAGAAGAAAATAAAGTTCTTATTTTTGTTCTACTTAATTAAGACTATAAGTTAGACAAAAAGTAAATGCAAAGTATTTGTCAAATAGTACCGGTATGCCATATTAGGATTTACAATTTTTTTTATGGATATTGGCATATTGATGATAAATTTTTTTTTTTATAGGGGTACTCATAGGTTACTGAAGCAGTTGTAAAGAGAATTAATTCAGCTTAAATATTATATAGTGCTTTAACTTTAACCTATTAAGTTACCTATCAGTTACTATGAATCTTGTATCATAACTTCACAAAGTCCATCCAAGTCTTCATAAGGAATGTTCAAATGATATGATAGCACAATGAGGGCAGTGACCCAAAGAATATTGAGAACCACTGATCGAAACCATTAAATTCTTATAAACCAAAATCATTTATGACTATTTCCTCCCAAAATCACCCAAAGTTGACAGTTTTACACTTAATGAACTTATTTATTGCACTGAAAATTTTTCTTATAGGATTAAATTGACCCCCCTCCCCCATGAATCTCTATTTGCGAACCCTCCACAAAGGAGGAGAGGTGCCATGAAGAGGCAGTTTCCTGTGACCTCCTGCCACCTGAGGAGTAGTAGTAGTCCTGTGTTTTAGCCGATGCAGATAGGAATCTTCTTCTTCTATATCTTATGGGCCCACGATCAATTTATTGATCATTTTGGCTCCTATGCATGTAGATGGGATTTGCAATGTTTTATTGCAAAAGTTTTCTCAGTGCTGTTAACCATAATGATCCTATTAATTTTTAATTCTAAAGCAGTCATGGCCCCTAAGTACCTTACATATTAACCTAGTAACAGGGATAAAACAGTTGTCAAGTCAACCCGCACTCAACAGGGGTTCTTTTTTTGTCATTGATTATCACCTTTGTTAGCTATGGTCCTTAAGCGGCACTGTAATCATGTGCCCTAGTTTGCCTATTGGATTATACTAAGTTATTGATCTGGTGTGGAAGGATAAGCAGGTTGGTACCCCTGCAAGTTTCCTAAGCCTGGAGGACTTCTTCCACCTTAGCCACAGGCTGCCATGGGACAGGCTGCAAATGGGGCAGGGGGATAATTTTTGTACTAAGCGACTTAAATATTTTTATTTATCTACTGATTTGGTTGCATTTTACAATTTAAAAAATGGTCAAGATAATTAAGAAGGACTAAACTTAAACAGTTGATGTAATCACCTCTTATTTTTTTAAATTAGTTAATGCTGAACTTTTCTGCTTTCTGGTATTTAAAAGTAAATCAATAATATAAATGAATCAGTAATACTTACTATTGTAGATCCTCAGTTAAAAAAGGACATGGCTCTTAAAGGTATTAAAGTTATAGAATTGGCTGGACTTGCACCAGTGCCATTTTGTGGTATGATACTCTCTGACTTTGGAGCAAGAGTTATTAGAATAGACAGAGTGAGTAAATTTTTTATTTATCATAAAGATCAATATTGCCTTCATCTGTATTATAACCATATATGTGTTTTGAAGTCTTTTATTTAAATGATTATTGTTATAACCTTTATGAAAATATAATTTTATACCTTATTTTAAAAATTTAAAAGATAAACTTTTTTTTTTTATATATAATTATCAAATGGCTTTAAATTTTTTTTGCAAAGGGTATAAAACGTCCAAAAAAAATTATGATGCTCACCATTTCATCTTAATGAATGTAAATGTCATCATTCTCCTAGGGCAGGTCAGCACAACTCAAAATGTAAGGTGGGCCGTATTACTTTATAAAAAACTTGTGTGGGCCGAAAGATAATAGGACGGGGGGGGGGAGTTATTAAGAAAATAGTACCAGTAATAATAAAGAATATTTCATTATTTCGCGGGCCGCAAAGTGGGTGCTTGCAAGCCGCAGGCCATATGTTGTGCAGGCCTGTCCTAGAGGATTTGGGAAAAGTGTAGGTAGGGGAGTGTTCGGGAATAGTCTTTGTAACGATAGGTGTCAAGAGTATCTAAATTTTGTGGCATATTGTGACTATGGACAGAGGGGTGTTAAAAAATCAGCCAAAATATGATGATATTGATGGCCCCTAAGTCTCAGTATAATTACTTTTATTCAACAAAGTACCTGCTTTAGATTATATATTACTTAAATTTAGCTTTGCTAAATCAGTAAAGAGTGTGACATTGTCATTTGCCAGTCAATATAATTGTTGAAAAGCCAAAACTTATTACTTCAGTACAGCTGGGAATAATATTTATATATATTTGCTTCAGTTACATGCCCCAAATATAGATAGTATGGGTCGTGGAAAGGAATCTGTCAGTATTGACATGAAAAAGAAAGCTGGACAAAATGCAGTAAAGAGGTTATGTTTGGCAGCTGATGTGCTCATTGAACCTTTCCGACCAGGTTAGTTAGTTTTATTATTTCTGCTTTAGTAGGCTTGCAATGCAGGTTGATTGACAAGCATTCTTATGAGGTGGTCAAAGCCAATTAATTTGCTTTTGAGCCATACTCTGGCTGATTTGTATGGCATCAACAATTTGTCATTTTTCCTGACTATACTAGTTTTTAAAATCCTTTTTATATCAATATCATTCATTTATTTAATGAGTTATATAAATCTCAATGTCAATAATAAATAACCTGTAATTTTGCTCTATATCAATAGAGTTAAGAATTAATTTATGTAGGCAATTTTTATTAAAAAGGGCTATCATCAAACTAAACAAAAATCATCATAATCATCCAATATTTTTTACATATATATATTTACACCAGGAAGCAATGATATAAAAAAAGTGGGTAACATTTTGCTCTTTTTTTCCCTCTCTCTGTCTTTAAATTTCATCCTTTTTTAGCTGTAAAATTTGAATTTTATCATCTTAAATCTTTTGTAAAATTAAACCTTATTTAGAGAATCAGTATCTAAGACATTTTATTTTAAAATATAATTTTTCTTTTTTCTTCTTGAATTTAGGTGTTATGGAAAAACTAGGACTCGGTCCTGATGTCCTGACCACAAATAACCCTAGGCTCATCTATGCTCGATTAACTGGATATGGTCAAAAAGGGCCATTATCCCACAAAGCAGGCCATGACATTAATTATATTGCAATATCTGGTATGTATTAAATTCTTTTTTTCTATTTGAAACTGACAAAATAATATTATAAAGCTTAGTGGCTTAGTTTTATGCTTAGCTTCAGCAATATTCCAGAAAAACAATGCTTACATACATGAAGGCAATTTTTTTTAAATTTAAACTCTCTTCTCTTTGAACTTATTTACTTATTTAAGTTCATGTATACTAAATATAAAATATTATTTTAGCTCACACATTTGAATGAAAAAAATGTTATCTCATTTTATTTCAGGTCTGTTGTCGAAACTAGGGAGAAAAAATGAACCCCCATTTCCACCAGTGAATTTAGCTGCAGATTTTGGAGGAGGTGGTCTTATTTGTGCACTTGGGATTGTAATGGCTCTATATGAACGAAATTTATCTGGCTTGGGTCAAGTTATTGATGCTAATATGGTTGAAGGCTCTGCCTATTTAGGTAATTAAAATTTGCTTTTCCCTGGGTATTCAATAAATTGATTGGATTTTCCATAATGGAAAAATCAAAATAGTTCTTTTCACTTTCTGATAAATTTACCTGGTTATATAAAAGAAAATTTTCTTGTACTAATTAATAATAAACAAAAATAAAATAATTTTTTATATGAGATGAATATCACAGAAAGTGTCAACCTGTTCTATTCTAAACATTTCATTAACATAACTTGTCATAACCGGAACAACTAATTTTGCAAGCCTTATTTAATTTATATCTCTTTTGTGTTTTAATCCTGGCAAAAAAGTATAATGGTTAAAGTTAAAAAAGGGATTTTAAATAGAAATTTATCAGCCATTTCAATTAATCACTTATTTACTGAGTGCACAAACAGTATTAATTATTAAAAAATCAATGTGATTTTTCAATGATTCAGAAAAACTGCTAATTTTTATTTTATATCATAACCACGTTAGCACAATTGTTTTACATAAGTTTAAACTAAAAAACTGTTTGTTTTTAAATTATATTATTTTGTTTGTAATATCAGTACCGGTATTATTTGTCTGAAAATATACTTATTCATAAATTTAATACATGTTAGGTATATTACTAATAAATTAAGTTTTTATTCTAAATTAAAACCTTAAGTCTGTATGTTTGACTGTAACATCATAAAATTAAATAAATTGAAAACATTTTCCAGCGAGCTGGCTGGATGGCACAGCACATTATTTTCCAAAACAAAGAGGGGACAATATTTTAGATGGAGGAGCTGCATTTTATAACACATACGAAACGCAAGATGGTAAATATATGGCTGTTGGATCTTTAGAGCACAAATTTTATGAAGAGCTTCTGAAAGGTAATACATTTTTTCAACATTAATACTCATTTAAAACTCTATTTCATATTGAGATTAGATTAATAATTCATTGAGATTTTGTCTGTTCTCTTATAAATGGGGTCAGGTCATATAAAGAACATTCCTTTACTTTTATAATTAACTTTGCATCTGATCTTTTCTTGTTAACTTCATTATTAACTAAGTCTTAACTATGCAATTATAATTTGGGTGGGTTTCCTATTAGAATCCACAATGCATGTGACAAAACTACCCTATTCACAATTTTTTAATTGTCACAAAAGTTGCAAACATTGAGATCACTGAAACAGAATAATAATATTATATACACAAACACAATTTTAAAAATCATTTATGTTTTAGTTTATATTCCATTAAATCAAATTTAAAGAATATGGAGATCACATAATTTTAGGACAGAATCTATTAAAAAAATAACAGTAAAATCAGGCAATCACTTATCATTACTGGAATTGTGATGAGTACCACTTTACCACTTAGAAAAAAAAAAGAAATGGGAAATGAATATGATGTCTTAGATGGCTTTTAACTGGGCTATTAGCTTCTGAAATGATTTTTATGACCTTTTTTTAGGTTTGGGCTTGAATCCATCAGCTGTTTCACAATCTGGTAACCAAGAACAACAAAAAGAACTCTTTGCCAGCATCTTCCTCACTAAAACAAGAGATCAGTGGACTGAAATATTCAATGAATTGGATGCTTGTGTTACACCCGTTCTCACAGCAGAGGAAGCATCTCATCACCCCCATAATGAAGAAAAGGGAACGTTCCAGAGAGCCTCCAAACCAAAACTCATGGCAAGTCCTGCACCAAGACTAAACAGAACACCAGAAATTAGACACCCCAGGCCTCTCCCTGAAATAGGCCAACACACCGTTGATGTTTTATTAGAATTTGGATTTTCTCAGTTAGAACTCAAGGAACTTGTAAAATCAGGTGCAATTGTGGAACAAGGAAAACTTTAAAATATAGTTAAAATTTCTTAAATAAGATAAATAAAAGGCGTTAACATATTGTGCAATGCATTTTGGATTATCTGTTTTTCCTAATTATTGATTTGTCTTATATTAAAATTGTATATAGTTTAAACTTGAATTAATTGCTCAAAGCTCATTTACCCAGACATATTTCATTATCATATAACCCTTGAAAATAAATTAATAAATAATTTATCAACATTTAATAATTGAATTCTTTGTTATTACCACCATGCTATATTTAAAAGCTATAACTTATTTAATTAAAATATCACTTGAGTCAAGACTTTTACCCTGTCATTCTTCATTGTTATGTCATGTGCGTCCTTGGATAGTGGAATGTGTTTTTTTATTATGAGGTATACTACCCCACAGGTAGCCCTACAGTATTTCTTTTATTATAAATTTTCTAGGTTTTTTAAGTGATGTTAAAGTTGTCTCATATTCAGAAGATTATTTTTATTACATGGAGTATAAGAGGGTTATTCTCTGGATGTATTGAGTAGGATTTCTTCCATTTTGTAGGACCTATGCAGGCTAGTTTAGACAGTTAGGTTGTAAGGGTTGCCCATCACTAAAACAATTTTATATTAAGTAGCCTCAATTTTAGACTGGTGTAACTTGAGTTTTCTAACAAAAGTGTTTTTGTCTTTCACACCCCCAATTGGATCTAACTGGATCTATCTATGTATATTAGTATATTTTGTTCATCCTTTGTTTCAGTAATCAAGTATTCAACTGAGAGTGATCTAAATTATTGAAAATTCCTTTAGCATTTATAAAAATATGTTTAAAATTTAAATGAAGTTTAAAGTTGTTCTAATTTATTATAGAATAGAATCTCACAAGTATTTAATAAATATATTTGCTAAAATGAACGGTATGACAAGTAGGCCTACTGGTAATTGGTCTTAATTAAGCAAATAAGGATAAGACAATTAAAGATCATGATATCATTTTTATTGAATATACCACTTAATTTTACTTAATAAGAGCTCCTAAAACTAGGTAAGATGTTTAATAAATTACACTGGGCCTAGATAAGTCTAAATGTCATTTTATCACAAACTCAAACATTTCTAATTCCTGTGACTCGTGACTGTGACACTCAAACTCAGGAGTGTTAAATAATGATCGTGCAAATCAATTTGACATGACATGTTACTAAGAAAAGTCACCCTAAAAAAATCTAAACAAACATTCTCAATCGTTTTATTCTAGTACTAGGTTATTTGAATATTTTTTTTCATCCAAATATTGCTATTTTATAAATTATATATTAATATAATATAATACAAGTTTTATAGTTTTATTTATAATGCATTGAATAATGAGGGATGTCACGTAATTACACATTATTCATTATATTACACTTACACCGTAAGTTGGCGTAAGTTTTCTTCTTTTCAAAATATTCCAAACGATTTCAACTTAAGAAGCGTTTTTACAAAATTGCCTTCTAACAACTTTATTTTTTAATGATCTGGGTTCAATTTAATTAGTTGCGGTCATACGTGCGTAAATACGAAACTGAGTTTCTTTAACTTAGCAATTTATTGTGTTGTTAAAATGCGACACGGAAGTGGTTCTTGTTAACTCACTCTATCGAGCCTATCGATCGATGGGGTTTGTCTTTGTAAGCCTTCGTCTCGATTGTTGACTGGATGCACACATCATGCATCATGAGCATAGACTCATAGAGGATTTTACTGAATATAGTGTTCTTACCGATGAGTGATATATCTATGGAAAGTACCAGAAGTGTGTTGTTCTTGCTGTTGCTGCTATCTCAGACACTGTCAGCAAATGCATCAAGGAAAGGTACTGTACTCGCTTAACTCAGTGTTAGTGTTAGTACTGTTAGTGTTAAGAAACTGCACTACTACTAAGCCTAAGCTAAGTCAGTATAATTAGCTCATAACTGAGCTAGGCCACTTCAGTATATGACATTACTGATGATTAAAAATTCATATTACTTGAATGTGTAGGTTACTATTAAGTCTACAATTACCAAGGAATCATTTTTTGTTTGGGCCCACTATCGCCTCGCCTAACTTAACTACTATGACTATGATGAGTATCGTCTAGAGTTATTATTTATTAGTCTATCTATACCTATATTTAAAAACAGGATCATAAAAATATATTTTAATCATAAAAAGAAATGCAAAAACAGTGTTTTCTTTCTTTGATCTTTGTAAATGAATAATCTTAGTGATGTTGATAGTCAGTCTGACTCTGATAAAAAAAAAAAAAAGGAATTCCTGTATACAATCAATGAATCATAAATGCAATGGTCCAAGAACAACATTTTTAAAGAATCAAAAATACATGTTAAGTAGCCTAATATAAAATAATTGTTCTTAAAAAATATATTTTAATAATAAAAAGAAATGCAAAAACAGTGTTTTTTTTTTTTGATCTTTGTAAATAAATAATCTAATAGATGTTGATAGTCAGTCTGACTCTAAAAAAAAAAAAAAAAAAAGGAATTCCTGTATACAATCAATGAATCATAAATGCAATGGTCCAAGAACAACATTTTTAAAGAATCAAAAATACATGTTAAGTAGCCTAATATAAAATAATTGTTCTTGATCTTTTTGATACATACATTACACACTCATACACTATTTTGGAGATTTTTTAGAACAATTATTTATGTTCAATGAAGAAAGTAGCCAGTTAATAGTACTGTATGAAATTAGTAAGTGCACAAATCATCTCTGAACCACATTATTATCTACCATCAAGTGACAATTTAATGCCATATCAACCAGGGTTGAGATGATTTAGATCAAATGATTTAAATCATTAATTTAACCCACGAACTGTGGCATAGATCATTCTGTAGTGTGGGAGCTTTTCAGAGCTTTTTGAGTGCCTTTAGAAATAGCATTAAATGACACAGAAATACTGATACAAGACCCCAATAATTATATGTTTTTAGAAAGGTAAATGGATGGGAATAACGTTGCCTATATTGCCCACCCATAAAAAAAATTGTGCTCAGTGTCCTTGACCTCAGGAGTGCTCCAGAAAAAAAATCAACAAAATGTATTGCTTTCAAGTGCTCATAAAATCATTAATTTTTATAAATTCCATTAAAATGATATACAAATGTGGTAGCCAATTCATTTATCTTTCAGAAAATGTATAGTTTGCTAAGGTTTCGATTACATTTAAAAGCCTCTGAAAGCAATTTTAGTAATTTTAGGTCATTTATTACTATAAAAAAAATATGAAACTGGGACCGCAGTTAAAACCAAGTACAACATGAAAAATCTCAGGCAAAAAAGTTATTATTGACTAGAAAACATTTAAAAAGGAACTGTGGCACTGATTTGGGTTGTTTAACTATAAAATTTATTAGTTCTGATCTATAATCTATAGCTTCTGTGACTGCCCAATCTCCGGGCCTGGCTCGAAGTCTAATAGTAGGCCTACTTCAGTATTACTAAGACTAGTATTAGATTCATTAGAAGAAGAATCTGAAATGAGATCGTCATGGGGAATGTAAAAATCATCAACAGTATCACTTAAATCCTCTCCTAAAAGGCTTTCAAAAATATTTCTATTAGTTCTTGTACTAAAGGCCAGCCATGCCTTTAGCTGCGATATAAAATTCCGATCAAAATCTACTTATTGTTCAGTTATCAACAAGCAGCTGGACCCTGAACATGATATAATTATTAATAAAAGGAAGTGGCTATGGTTCCGGTTAAATATTAGATTGGAAGTCGGACCGTGTTTTTATCGGCAGATTTTTCAGCCGCCACAGTACAGAACGAAAATATGGACATTTTTTTTTTGGCCGACCACAGTCCGAGGGTTAAATTGGATACATAAAAATCATGATTTAATTTTAAAAATTATTTTTACTTATGCTATTTTTATCTATCTATTTATTTTTTAAGGCACTTTCTATAAAGGAATCATGTTACTTTTAATGCATGATTAATCACATAATATATTATTTCTTAATATATAATTATGATGAGAAATTGCCTTGAGATTGAGAGAGCAAGAGAATCAAGAAGGATTTGGTGAAATCGAATAAGTTTGATAGCGATCGTTTGAAAGTCTGAAACTGATTTGAAATTCTTATTCATATTGATAGAGACTGTATTATTAAGACTATGACTGTTGTTGATTACTGGTATAAGTTTTTTTTTAAATTTGGGGTTATTATTTGTTATTTCATTATCATTTTAATTGGAATACAATGAGAAATTTTAAGTTAGGTGAAAAATTTGAAAATATTTAAATCCTTACGGTAAAAGCCAATTTTATAAATTAATATTAACTACATAATAATATTTATACAACATTGATATCATTCAAAACCTAAAGTTATCCTTTAAAAATGTGCATTGGAAAGGGCTACTATTGATGTTCAACATTATGGGTGTTCAGACAACAGGCGCTGTTGTTTGATTGTGCCAGTCACAAGCCGAATTGAATGGGGTTTGTAAATAATGTTAACCATTGGTCAGGAATCAAAACACATGTGCTGCACTAAAGGAAGTGATCAACTTTTGTTTCCTGAATTTGTTTTTTTTTTAAGCGCAAAGGAGCTATGTGCCCAGCATTCCATCCTCAGAAGTAGAAAAGTATCACCCTTTATAACAGGGGCTTTCTATTGTGCTGTGACAAAATCTGAATCCATCAAGTGTTTGAGTGGCTTAACATTCAGCCCAGCTGAATAATATCTGTGGCAAAAGTTTTACAATTTTATTAATATGAATATTTTACAATGGTGGATAACAGGGTTTACAGATTCTATGGGGTTTGAAAAGACAGCTTAATCCATGAACTGTGGCTGGTCGATTAAATCGGCCGATTTCCTCTACCTGTACTCTGTTGGCCGATAAAGATTGTGTTGAAAGAACAACTGCCAGTCCAATATTATACACTAAATAAAACGACTTTCTTTTAATAATAAATATACTCCCATTTTTCGCTCTTCTGTGTCCTTTTTTAAACTTTGGAGTTAGTTTTTACAACGATCTATATCAAGCAAATTTTAGTAAGTAGATTTTTGCGAAATGGATGAGGCCATAGCTGGACCATCTGGCTTATAAAATAAATTAGGAATCTTTTTGATAGTTCCTTTAAGTGATTCGAAAGATGATTTTCCGATCACACATAAAGACAATGATAATTCTGATTATTTTGCTAGTGGGTCAGAAAGTGAAAGTTCAGACGATTTAGACCTAGCCCTAGAACAAGTAGGCGTACCGCAACAACAGGAATCAATCAAAACTATGTTGCAGATGATTTTGTATTGATTAATAAAACATATACAAATAATACATTTTCTTAAAGATAAATAAAATTGATATCATATTATATTATATACACATTATAATAATGTGCCTTTTAAAAATTGTAGTTTGTTGTGCTTGAAAATAAAACTTTTCATTATTCTCTTTATCCTTGGTCACGTCAAGGTCACAGTCATAGAGTATAAAATAGCATTAATAAATACCCATTATGATCCCCCACTCAGTCTACTTTCAATAACATATACTTTATGGTGTAGAGCTATAATATTTGCATGTGAAAAAATCACCTTTTTCAGAGGCACCCAAAAAGCTCTAAATTGTTCATTCCTTTCACTAGTTCTAGTGTATTATGAGATATAAGGAATAAAATATTGTTTATATACAAATATAGAACAAAAACAATCTCTATATTTTTTTAAAATATGTTAAAAAATTAACTTTTCCTATTTTAGTTTTTGACTTGCAAAGCACCAAGTTGGAATGTTTAAAATTTATACAGGCACTACCAGGCAACCCCTCCTCCCTCGTTAATTATGAATTAAGCATTCATTAAGGAATAAATGATATAATCTTCTGATAATAGGCAGGACAGGGCCTTAAGACGTTCCTCCGAGGGCTTGTTAATCATCATTACACCAAAACATTTTAAGGGGAATTTTAAGAAATTCTTAAAATGCCCTGACTTACTCCTCAACTATATTGTGTCCAGAGAGAGCAGTTTAGTTACATTCATTGAGGCTGACACAATAACCAAGCACCTCGACTGGAGATTCAGAAAAATGCTGAAGATTTTTGGCTATTTTACTTGTTAAAATCTATCTTAAAATTTTTAAGATGCAAAGGTGAAAGTACACTGAAATCTAATATGCAGCTGATTTTTTACAGTGTTTGGATGAGAATTTTTTTTTTTTTTAAATTTAAAAAAACAATTTAACTGATTAATAATTTTGATTTGATTGAATTAAGAATAAAATTGTGCACAAAAATTAAAGGCTACTTGTGTTATAGGATTTTTCTAAATATTCCAATGACCCATGCATCAGTCAAAACATCCTCGTGCAATGTAAACGTTAAATGTAAATTATAAATTTAAAGTAACAATTATTAGATTCTAGCGCCAGAAAAAAAAAAAATTAATGAAGATGCTCCCTCAGGTAATTAACACAATGTTGACACATTTTATACCTACTCTTATACCCTTTTTCTGCATTTTTTATTGATTTCATAGATCAAGTTCTTTTTTATTATCATTAAATTAATTAATAGTTTTATTTTGTTCAATTCACCCTGATTCTGTTAATTTGACACGAGTTTTATTTATTTAAAACTTGTTTACAACTTTAATTTCAGACTACAGACTTTCCCACCACCCCTCATAACAATTCAACTATTTTGGACATTCCATTCCCTAAACTTTTCAGCGCCTAGTAATTCTGCACAATTAACAAATGTTCCTGCTTAGTATTACCGATGTGACGAAATAAATAATACCGTTAAATTAAAATAAATTACAAAAATGTGTGTGCAATGGCATAGGTTTTGATAAATATAATTTCCTGACAACTATGTGGCTGATTGTATCAGACTCATTGGAGTATCAGAGTATCTAGGGTTAGTTCCGTCCAAAATAAGGATTTCCCCAAACCCTTTCCTAAGCTCTTGATTGCACTCAACCTTCGCATTTTGACACTGTTTATTAAAATGCAATGCTGCCGTGTAAGGAAAAAAAAAGGGGGGGGGGGATTTGTTACATTTATGTTCATGTCAACAATATAGATCACAGTTCTCAATTTCTGTGTGATGGGGGGAAATTCAGGCTCTCTCTTTACTGTATTTCCACTCCCACCCCGTGCAGAATTTCTTCCCTTGGCCTACCATCACATTGCGACAAATTAATCTTCTTAATTTCAATTGTCCGAGGAAATGTTTAAGGAAATATTAACAAGGTGGGGGGGGGGGTTGTAAGAGGGTATAAATAATAAACACGATTTCGTCTTAGCTTGCCCTCGAGCAGGGATCTATAGGTAGACACGCATTTAACAGATACAACAAAAATAGAAGCATGAGAAAGGTGAGCTCCCATGAAAACTGTTTTGTTTACGCTTGAATACCACCGACGATTACCGGTTGCATTCCCGGGTGCCCCCGCCCCAACCACGCCATTCTTTACACCCCCCTCCCCCCACACACACACTCATCCCGCGCGGGGGTCATCCTGGCGTGTTTGTTGCCTCTTGACAAATCACTTTTATGTCATACCTATATACAACGTGAGCACACGGCAGTTAGAGAGACATACAGGGCCTTCCCCAGAGATGTTACACATGGAAACCCTCATTGGCATCCTATATAAATGGGACGATGTAACCGAAAGTTAGAAAGTTCAAAGTTGTGGCTCTTAAAATGGGGCTCAATGAAGAATGGCCACACTTTGATGCAAGAACATTGTTTGGGATCGGCTTACGAGTCTTTAAGCTCGAAATGGCGTAAAAAAAATGATCTATTTTTTAAAAAAAAAAAACGTCTATGGTTGAAAATGTTTGGCTCCACATTTAGAGGATATAAAATTCATTGGCAATTAGCTAACGTATAAAACTCAACGTGTACTACTGCAATGATATAACTTCACATAATTGACACGTGGGCGTCCGGTGTTATTATTTTGTTGTTGTTGTTTTTTTTCCGCGTTGGCGATTCCGCTGACCTGCATCAACTAAATTCCTGCCAATAAAACCCGCCAACCGCACAACCCGTATCAGAGGCGTAGCGAGGGTGTTCGGCGCCCGGGGACAAGATCCATTTTAAAGCGCCCCTTGTCTTTTTTTCAACTCTCAAACACATTATTTTCATCAATAAAATAATATCAAAGCACATTTTGGGGCCCCTAACTAGATGGCGCCCGGGGACATCTGTCACCCCCCTGCCCCCCCTCGCTACGCCTCTGACCCGTATGTTATTGTTGCAATCACAGTTCTTTTGCAGCACGGAGTGTTTCTTTACTTACTAAACCAACGGGCACGAAACCTACGGGAGCGCGTACAAAAATTAAACACTGCTTGGCGCGAATGATATTTGATAAATGCACGTCTAGTTTCTGCATAACCAATCGACCATTCCTTGTTGGCGGTTTTAACAACACGAACGCCCCACTTGATTACAGTTCACACCATTCTCCAAAAAAATCGGACAGGAAATTGTGGTGCGTTAAGAAATAATGGAAATTAGTGTATGCTGACAAGTTTAACAAGTGTTATAAAAAAATGCGAGTACTAGCTCAACTCTGTGCAGGTGGACCTCTCAGTGGAAGTTTGAGAGCAGGGGTCGGCAACCTTTTGATATTATTATTAGCTTACTAAAAGTAAGACTTTCTAAGCCATTCAGCGTGCCAACAACTCATACGTCTACCATTTATTAAGACGCATTTTTTAAGCCATTTATAATTAATTCTGCTCTTTCGCGTGTCAGTGCAAATCGCTGTGCGTGCCAAGTCAGCACGTCAGGGCCGGCGCTAGGGGATGGCGAAGTGGACGACCGCCCAAGACCCCGCGTTTGCGGAGCCTCGCGCGTTACCTTATGATATTTATAATATACCTAAGCCTACTCCTAAAGCGCATTACTCTTATGGGTCGAGATTCTATCTCATAGGAACCTGGCCATGAAACATGGCCCAGTAATGGCCCAGTAGTCCCAGAGGACTCCGGCCATGCAACACGGTCATCAAGTGTGTGGGTTGAGGAGAAGGTTTTGCGTCGCCACCCCTCTTGCCCAATGAGTCATTCGGTCTAGACCAGTGGTTCTCAACCTTCCTAGTGCCGCGACCCTTTAATACAGTTTCTTGTGTCGTGGCGACCCCCAGCCACTCAATTATTTTCGTTGCTACTTCATAGCAGTAAGGATACGTGTTTTCAGGTGGTCTTAGGCGACCCCTGGGAAAGGGTCACGCGACCCCCAAAGGGGTCGCGACCCACGGGTTGAGAACCGCTGGTCTAGACGTTAGTTTGAAATGGCTTTGCTTCCTCTCCGGGGATCAGTGTTGCGTTACTTCTCCCCACCTCCAGGGAGCTGTACTGTCCGTGGTGTAGTACGGCTTTACTTCCTCTCCGGGAGTAGTCTCGAGTATGACTTTCTCCCACCGTTCCTGGACTTAGGTCGAAACAGCTTTGCTTCCTCTCCGGGAGAAGGTGTTGCGTTACGTTACCTCCCCCCACCGTCCAGGGAGCAGTTCTGTCGGGACGAAACGGTCACCTAGGAGCGGCTTTCTCAAGGCCGCATGTTTTAATCCCCGGCAAGGGTTTTATTTTCACCCAGGCCTCATATCCATTATCGGCGACACGTAATCATGTTAGCGCGCAACTTCCGTTGCGTTGGAAGTCATGCGTTTGGCTTGGATCTTTAGGCTTCAGCAGTTTCTTCCCTACTAATCTTCCACACCGCGTAGAGGTAAGTTTCCTCGGTGGTGTGCTCGCCTACCTAGAGGGGTTCGGTCGGGTCAAAACGAAGACCTAAGCCTACTAAAAGTTCCTAATCCAGTCAACCTTGATATTGGTAACAAAGGAGCCGCGATGAGTAATTTGGGCCAGGGCAATTAACTGTTATAGGAAAAAAATAGAAATTCCGGAAACTAAGCGAGTGAACAAATACCCGTTATGACTCGTCCCATCATGACCAGCAAGGCCCCAGTACGACTATAAAGTGTCTTAATATCATACCGGCGAAATACATGACGTCAACGGCCCCGCAAAATTCAATTTGCCCAAGGACCGCACCCTCCTAGCACCGACCCTGAGCACGCGTGCCGTAGGTTGCCAATTCCTGTGTTAGAACACGCGAATACTGCATTGTTAAATTAAAAGAATTGACCGAGCAGCGATACTGTGACATGGCACGGAAAGACATAGCATGGATTACACCAGCTGTTTCCATGGTGTTTTCTGGATGACCTAATAAGAAGAGCGATGGTATTAAAAAAAAACAATATTTACCGTACAAAAAAAAAAAGAAGGGTTCAAAAACTATTCCGTTGCGCCACCGTGTTCATTTATTAGCGCAGATAAATGGAAACACATATTTGGTTTGTTTTGGCCTTATACCGATCAAAGTTCAAAGGTTTTAGTTGGATAAGACTAAACTATGATTACTGGTCGATCAGTAGCTATCTCTCACCAATAGACCAACTTCATTATTAAAAACGTGTGCAAAGTTTTAACGTTAACTCAATCTCTATTATTACCGATTAGGCTTAATGATTAGGTTCGCCTTGGACTTGGTTTTTCTTTTAAGTGTATATATATAATAGAGCAAAGGCCTGAAACAGTCTTGGGAACCATTTGTCGCTGTCAAGTCACACTGGTTGCGGTTTTGTTTTGTTTTTTTTTTGTTGTTTTTTTTTCACTCGTGATTCAAAGTCTTCCACTGCCACAAAATCGGTCCCTGGTGCCAAAAAAGTTGGGAACCGCTGGCCTGCGTCAGTCTACCGCACGCGCTGCGTTCTAAAGCAAAGGATTTCATTTTGGAAGGCCCGGCATTTTAAGAGTATCTCTTGTGTTTCCGAAATGTTGAAAGGGGCTCCTCTAGAAGAGATAATGTCCGGACATCCACCTGACCCCCTAAAGCCCGTAATCAACGAGAGCTGTGGCTCATTTTCTCCGTAATAGCACCACATGTGCAAAGACTAGAACTCCCGGGTACGAGAGACTCTGTGAGACACGTTAGGTCTGACATTTTACTTACACGACGGCTAACTGGCGTGATAACAGTACGACTTCTGTGCCGGCACTTTACCTATATAGCCGACGAGGACCCGGGCACCACTGAGGGGAACCCCCCCCCCTCCCTTTCAGTTGTACGATTCGCGGGGGGCAGGTGAGAACGTAGATACTGCTGATACCAACCCCGGCGCCAAAAGTCTGCTCTCATCGGGATGGTACAACCGCTCGGTTCGGGCTAATGCGATGAAAGATACATTGGCGGAGAATGGGGGCTTACGCGTATTGCATTCCCAATTTAACGTGAAGTCAGTGAAGCGCCTGTTGGAATGACAAAGCCAGGGCAAGAGGGCACTCAAAAGCCTTACGTTTTATCTTATTTATTGGGGGAAGAAAAAGGAAGAAACGCAGAGGCAAAATCTACCCTACAACCACCAGTTGTTGTGGGTTTTTTTGTTGTTTTTTGGGGTTTTTTTTCCTGGCTTTCAAAATTTGATAATTAAAAAAGTGAAATAGAGTATGACAAAATTGGCATGTTACCTTTTTTTGAAACTGGTAAAACTAATACTTCATCAAGATATTCCCATATTGATGCATTCTGGCTGATAATAATGATACATTATCTCTCTGTAGCTGTACCGGTATGTAGAATCTCTATTTGTTTAAAAATAAATCTCTCTTAGTCCTGACATTTCCCTGTCAGTTAGCTCCCCCTGTGTCTCAGGTTACCTAATGTAGATAGTTGAGTTCGGGAGATGAAAGACAGAACCAATGCTCTAAGCTGTTGCCCAATTTTGAAAGCTTTATCTCTCTTTCCCCCCCCCCCACCTCCTCAACCTGTTGGGTAAAAACATTTGCATTTGGTAACAGCCCTGAGGGAGATGAAAGACAGAACCACTGCCCTAAGCTTTTGCCCCATTTTGGAAGCTTTATCTCTCTTTCCCCCCCCCCCCCACCTCCTCAACCTGTTGGGTAAAAACAGTTGCATTTGGTAACAGCCCTGGCTGACATGCCTACAAAAATAGCCAGACATGAAATTGTCAGTGG